AAAAAAAAAAAAGAACTTTCCAGGCAGAAGGCATTGTAAATGCAAAGTGCAGGAGAAAAATTATGACTATGTTTTAGGAAACAGAAGGTCAGAGTCATTGAAGCCAAGTAAATGGAGAAAGTGGCAAAAATGAAGTTGAAAAGGTAGTGAAAAGTCAAATAGAAGTTGGGGCTTTAAAAGGTGCCAATAAAGAAAAACCCCTTGTGTTACTGCAAAATCAGGTGTGAGATGGGACTCAAGAGCCAGCTGATGGAGACAGAAATATCAGCTTCATTTAAAAAAACAAAAGCAGGGCCTGGTGGTATTCAACTGTTAGTCCAATGCTCAAAAGGCTGAGGCAGGAGGATTTCCATGAGTTGGAGGCCAGGCTGAGCTGCAAAGTGACACCCTGTCTCAAACACACAACTCATTTTCATTACTGTTTCTGCTCATTGGAGAACTACAGCTAAAGGGGCTTCCTAATACTCCTACAACTGCGACCCTGGGAGAAAATTTACTTTGCCTTTTTTTCCAGGCAGAGCTAAAAGAGACTTTCCCCTAAGGACATGTACAGTTACTAAGTAACGGAAGTGACTTCAAACCCTCTGAAAGAATGTGTGCCATACACACCCAGATTTCTGTTCTCTATTTTACCAATGAGAGGTTTTCATTTGCCTCTCAAGAGAAGAAATGGTGCTAATGGATACAGGTAGGAGAAGCAGTTACTGAGAGAGAGGCTAAAAAGTTTTCTCTGCTTTTTCTTGTACAGAAAGTGTTCTATTATTGTGTGATGTTTAGGATTAATATTACCCTGACCCTACCATTAGGTGGATCTCACAGGCCATGAAAGAGTTTGAATTTCTAAGTATAAACAAGAGGCATTTTTGAAAGTCCCCCAGCAGTGTAGCTTAGGCTGATATATGGTTTGCATGTGTCACTCCGGATGCTGTGGAGGCAAGTGGAGAAAAGGCAATTTCCAGTAGGCTGCTGCAAAAGTCAGGGTGAGATATGCTGCTATTTAGAGAGGAGCAGTTGTAGCAGTCTAGTTTTAGACATACTGGGGTTGGATGATGAATTGGATTTAGAGGAGAAACCTGAGGAATTCAGACTAAGTATGTGATTTCTAGTTTAAGCGACTATATAGTTGGTAATTCCATATATTTAAATGAGAAAAATTGGGAGAAAAATGACATGGCAACAGACTTATTCCTGGGATTTGGAATTGTGAAGGTAATTGATTCAGCAAGAATATTTTCTGTGAATACTTAGAAGGAAAACTAGATTTAGAATTTGAAAAAAACTAATATGTAATTGCTTGTATAATATTTAAAAGAATTTTTGCTATGGAAATAAGAAGAGAAATGACATATGGGCCTTTAAAATGTTTTTCTCTTTTTGCATTGAAAGGAATGATCTGTTCATAAAATAAGGCTGACAAAAAATAAGAACTATAAAACTTTTGGAAAGGCAAGACGGGATGTGACCTAGAGCTCTTG